AGGGAAAGTATAGAAATCATTAGGGCTTAGGTCGGGGCTGTACGGCGGATGGTCTAATAATTCTATGTTTTCTTGCTCTAAAAACTCTTTTGTTCTGTGCACGGTGTGAGAACTCGCATTGTCGTGATGGAGGATGATGCGGCGGTTGCAGTTCTCTTTACGGAGTTCAGAAACGACCTGTGGCAAACAAATGCTAGCATACCATTCTGCATTAACCGTTCTTTGTCCCTCAAGAGAAATAGTCGTAACATGGCCGGTTTTGGAGACAAACTTGGCCACCATTTTTTTTGCAACACTCCGTGAACGAACAATTTTTGTTGGCTTTAACTCATTTTCGAACACCCAAACTCGTGACTGGTTTTTTGTTTCGGGTTCGTACGTATATATCCAGGATTCGTCACCTGATACAATGTTGTATACAGCATTTGAGGATCCTGCGTGGAATCTTTCGAGAGTTCTGACGCACCAAGGTAACGCGAGCCGCGAGCGAATGCGGTATCCATCGGGAAAACAACTTTTTTACACCTAATTGTTCATGCAAGATTATTTGTATTTGACTCATGCCAATGTCTAAAGTTGCCTGAATTTCGCGGTATGTCACATGTCGATCTTCCTCAATCAGCTTACGCACAGTATCAACGTTTTCTTGGGTGACTGCAGTTTTTGGACGACCTTGACGGGGATCATCACTGAGCTTGACACGTCCACGTTGAAACTCAGCAAACCAGCGATAAATTGTGGTTTTGGATGGGGCTTCATCACCAAATGCAGAAATCCTCCGGTCAACACACTGTTTTTGTGTTAAAACACTTCGAAAGTCTTAATAAATCATCGCTCTTGAATTTTCTCGAGTCAATTCCATTTTCTCAACGACTAAACAAGTTTAACAAAACCTCGTGACAAGACCGAGAATCTTTTTTTAAATAAATAAATGGTATTCGATTTTTAAAACCAAGGAGTTTTCAATTAAAAAGATTTTAATATTACAGGAACAGTGGAAGTATTCCATTCCCGATACTTTTAGTGCAGCCTAGTAAGATGCTCTAGGTCTACTTTTAATCTAGTAAAAAAATGTTAAAAAAAATATTACTTTACCGGTCCTCACCACGACATTCACATTCAACGAATTTTACTCTCCTGAATAATATCGTAAACTCATACGCCTCAACATGAAGCTAGTATAACCTCTTGAAGTCACTAGCAGTAGGAAGGACAGAAAAGAAAACAAACACAAAGAATTCCATACATAATAGATGCATAGAAAATGACTGGTGGTAGGATCTCTTGTAAGTCCGCACGGGTGGATACCACCATTCTGCCTATTTCTGCTGTGAAGCAGTAATGCGTTTTGGTTTAAAGGGTCGGGTAGCTGTTATGACTATACTGAGACCTTAGAACTCATATCTCAAGGTGGATGGGAGCAATTACGTTGTAAATATCTATGGGCTCTGGTAACTACTTAACACTAGGTAGGCTGTAAGCTCGTCCACCCATCTCTGCAATATAAAAAAAACATATATCACACTTTTTTCAAACAATCAGTGTGCTAAGTGCGAGTTTTTTAACGTACTCGATAGCGTAAAAGTTAGCCCAATTTTGTGTGCAGTTGGAACAGCGCCCCTAGCGGCAAACATAGGCAAATGATCCCATTTCATACAAATATGAGTTAACTTTTACGCTATCGAGAACGTTAAAAAACTCGCACTAAGCACACAGGAGATTGTATCTCTGCTTTTGACGTTTCATTATTCTATCTCATTAACATAGTCACGGACATAAACAAACTATCATAATTCTACAGCATATAGATAATTTCAGTTTCCTTCTGGTCATCAAGTTTGTACGTTTCTCATTAGTACACTTATTCGAACCTTCATAGTCTAACTAGTAAAAAATCATCACAACTAACCAGTCCATCGAAATCTTTATCGGCATCGTCAATCATTTCTTCAATCTCCTCGTCCGTTAAATAAGTGCCTAATATTTGAGATACTTTCTTGACGTTTTCGAAATTTATGAAACCTGTCAAACGTCAGACAACATATTTCGAATGCAATGAAGGGCACAGTATGGAAGGTAGAATTAAGGAGTACCATATCAGTATAATAGTGTCCGCTGTAAAGTAGGCAATCAAGGTGGCGCCATAGTAGCAAGTGGAAAGATTTAAAAACAGCACCATGCATTACTTCAACCCAGGACACTTGGCTCTGCTTAAAACTGCTGTATTCATATCATTTCCACTGCCTACACTAGCGCTATATGGGTGAGTCTTCCAATAATAGCTCGCTGTTTACATGTGGACAATTTTTCAACTTGTCCCTTAAACAAGATGATCCTCATTACATCTACCCTCCATAGATAATAGAAGCAAGCACTTAGAAGCAAGGAAAACACTCACTGTGTTTCGCTGAATAACTATCCCATCTTTCAAGTCGGAACGAATTACTCCTACGCGCCAGATATAGGTAGAGCGGTACCTACCTTTTTTTTCCTGCCTAAGCTGATAGCCTTGAAAGGCTATGTCAGCGTAATCGAGAGTGCAGCTAACACTGAACCTAGCAAGAGCAGTGCTTCGCAGAATCTACCACCAGATCAAAAACGCGACCCACTGAGAAGATCCGGCGAGAAGCTCAATGGGCTGTATCTATGGGTTACTTTACTCGTCGAGCCCTTCGTTTTAAGCAACGGTTTCAGCGAAGACGGTGACCGGGCTACCTTTAATAGCTCACAAAATGCTCTACCACCAGTAATTTAGTACATAATATGATTGCTATGAACCACCTTTCAACCATGAGCACTCATGATCATATTGCTCGCTCTAAAACCATATACTTTCATTGAGCACTTATGGGACGACGTATCGCAACGTATGACTGCAAGAGCGTCGACTCTACCACGGCTATGACAGTAAATCAATCCATTAAAATTTCCACGTGTCATGTTTTTGACAGGGCATATAAGCTTTGAAGTTTATAAGGTCAAATATCTGTATGGCTGTTTTATGAGTGGGCCGTTTCTAGCAATCCAGTAGACAAAGGAATACCACGTACCACTGTCATCGTCATCGAAGAGTCGGAAGCTCTTCATGATATCGCCGTCGCTGTCCAGGGCCATGATCTTTCTCATTATGGCCGTTTCGAAATTTTCGAAGCTCAATTTCCCGGTGTCTCCTTTGTCCACCGCTCTTATCATTGTCTGCAGCTCCTCGTTAGTTGGCTCGTAACCTGTCCAATTAGGGAGAACAACAGCAATCAGTTCAGCTCATTGTTTCGAGTTCGTCGCGGTCTAAAGCACAAGACAGCCGGTGTACTCTTTTTTATAGTAAACTCCTACGATAGCTCGTGTGGTTAAGTGGTCACCGGAGCCCATAGAGATGAATGAACTAATTTCAATTTACCCTACTCGGTGACTCGCCCCAGAGAGCTCTCCACTTCAGACACAAGTTTTGATTGTCTCTCCTGTACCACAGAAAGACGCTGATGGAAGATATATCGCGCACTCCCGTGCTGTCATCCATATAGGAATGCATGCCATCTATAGATAGTATGTCATTGTTATACAGGATGAAGAGCGTGGGGGAGAGCACCTTATAGAACTTTATGGGATGCCAGCGTTAATAGTCGTGGTATCGGAGCAGCAACCGTCTAGAACGACCGTGATACTCTGCCCATCCAAACATCTAGCGATCTATTGGCATAGTCTCTTGGGGGTTTCGTAAAATGGTTCGACAGTTTCGACAAAAGGGCCCTATGCAAGACCTTATCGAAGTCCTTCGCGATATTAAGGCTTCAGCCCTTCTGTGAGTAAAGTATACAAAAAGATCACCAGCTGAGCGACCGTGACGGAAACCATACTGTCGGTCACTGTTCAGCTGGCGATTCTCAAGATACTTCAGGAATAGAGTATTTATTATTCGCTCCATCTTCTTGGAAAGCAAAGTAGCTACTGCGATAGGCCTATAACTCGATGGGTCTGGCCGGTCAGCTTTCTTGGGGATAGAATGAACATGAACTGTCTTCCGTAAAGTTGGAACCCTATTAGCGTAATAGGAAAGGCGATACAAACCAGTTAGCGCAGATGTCAGCTCAGGGGTTCAATTTCAAAGTAATCATTTGCTACCACAGACTCAAGGAATTGTTCTTTGTATACTTTTAGGAGCTGGGCACACCGTTGCATGGCACTTAGACCTTTGGGAACTTTTGTGTGACCCTCCTAATTTTTTTCATGTTCATATACCTAATGCTTTGATGGCAACACGAAAATCCTCGGCTCTTATTTTCCCTTCTCCTGTATAGTCTAGAAGGTTGAATGCCTCGCGTAGATCTTGCTCCTTACGGATATGAAAATAAAAACCAAATCAGGAAATACTTCGAAATATATTGGTATATTAAAAATAATAACTGGGAACAAATCACGCACGGTCATCCGTCCCCAATTTAGTATTCCCTGTGTTAAGGGTACCAGACACTGTCATACATACATTTCTATATATTCCTTTAAAAATACATTCCCACCCAGACAAAGAGTGAACAAATCTGTATTATCACATTAATGTTTTGCCCGATTTGGGAATCGAACCCACGATCCTCGGTACAACAGTCAGAGCTGCTAATTACTGCACCATCGAGTCAGTCCAGTAAATACGTAAACATGAAACAAAATTTCTATTTTACTAATTTTACGTTTGGTGAACCACCCATACACAGTCTTAAACTACTAAATTAGCTTTTTCAATATTCTATGTTTCTACTAAAGATAAGTTAATAAATCAGAAATATTTATTTGTTGGCACTATCATGGGCACTTGAATACCTTTTTAATTTAAGATAACAGTCTTCGCAATAATACTACCTGTGCGTTCGTTAAGGTCAATTTAGCTTTTATTTCATTTACTTTAGACGACTGGTTCAAATCCTCTTCGCTATTGGAATAAGCGATTGTTCCGGAAACTACAGTTTCCTCCATTTTTCTTTATTATGAGTGAAAACACGTAGGTCGCGCTCACTATCTTACGATTTATCGAACTAACAACCCCTTAGTAAAAATTAATTACCTACGCGAAATAGGAGGATGGATCCAACCCTTTTGTTAAATTATTGCCATGATAAATTAATAAATTATACCATTATGCGATTTATATTTTTCGTAGCTTAAAAACTAGTTATTTTGTTGTATAACTTTGTTATCATTATAGTCAATTCAAAAACTTCGTCCAGGAAATAATTATGACATGACACAGTTAGTCGACCATGGCTCACTTTAGTCCGTACTATTTTCATATTATTCGTACGTAGTGTCATTTCACCATTTACTAACCATATTCTACCAGTAAAAGCTACTACAATGTTATACTAGGAAATGCTAGCGTGCATTTCAGATCTACACATACCTGTGCACCTTTATTTTACATTATCGAGTAAGGTCTTAAGCTAATACAGCAAATTAAATCCCACAACACTTTTTTTGGTCCACTTCTACTAATAAAACAACTTATCAACACTACCTTTTCAAGTATTAACGGTTGAATCAAGGAGACTCGATAGATTATTAATCACCTGTTCTTTGCTAAAAATCAATCGAGCATGGACTTGTAATTCATGTTCTTCTTCTTTTTCTTCAATTATTACATCTAACTCCGTTGAACTGTCGCCTTGATTTATTGGATTTGCTTCTTTCATGATTTTCGATCAGTGTTTCAGATTATCGTTAAGTAAATTTGATGGCCCTTTTATATTTTTCTGTCAGAAAACAGGCCGCCTTAAGTCAAAAGAGTTTTATAATTTGGTAATAAAACTAGAACAAAACTTTTACAAAAATGTTCATTTTATTTTAATTTTTATTAGTCTTGCAACATACAAACGCTCGCGGCGCCATATTTTGTTTAGACTTTTGAGGTTAAGCCGTACCGACGCCGTTATTGTTTTCACGATAAATTAGTTAATAAATCAAGCAGAATGAAACTCGTCAGGTTTTTAATGAAACTAAGCCACGAGACGGTCACTATAGAGTTGAAAAACGGCAGTGTCGTTCATGGAACAATTACCGGGGTGGATGTCGCTATGAACACACATTTAAAAGCCGTAAAAGTTACGTTAAAAAATCGTGAAGAACTACAATTGGAGACCTTGAGTATACGCGGGAACAATATCCGATATTATCTACTTCCAGACAGTCTGCCTTTAGAGACTTTGTTGATCGACGACACTCCTAAAGGCAAGGGCAAAAGGGAAGGATTTGCGCGCGGCGGCGGCGCCAGAGGTGGTCGTGGCAGAGGCCGAGGTGGCCGCGGAGGCCCCAGAGGCGGTCGTGGAGGCCGAGGTCGCGGACGCCGGTAGATAAAAACCTAATTTTAAGCCAAACTTGATCACAGTAAGTGAGGTCTGATATTTGTGATTGAATTAAATTTTCATGGTGTTTTTTATTCTACTAAGTAACAGTGTTCATGCTTAACACAATAATAAAACTACAATAATTACTTGCAAACTGTTATTAAAAAGTATTGTGGTCCTTTAGCCTAAACAAAATGTTTTCCTGGACGACTTTTTTACACAGCGATGCAAGGTTCCTTGGGTCTTGTAATTTAAAACATAAACTAGAGAATACATTAAATTGTAATTTAGTAAACATATTCCGTAAAGATAAGTCAATAAATTGTATTGTGTAAGATGAAATTCTTTTATTTATGGAATCTGACCGTATCTTAATTTCAGGACATTTCACAGATCATACTGATGTGTGAAGCATTGCACGAGTATATTCCATGACACTTGATTCAATCATCATCCTTCTCATATTGTTGTATTGAGAGTTAAAAGGCTGTTTAATTTAAGTGATATAATGCTTAAATATCTATACTTATTATATAAATCTACAGTGGTTTTTCCGGATGTTGTGATATAACAACAGGACCATGCATCAGATTGACTTGAAACTAGGTATCCATGTAGAAAATACATATACTTAATGGATAGGCTAATATTTATATGAGTCGTCTATTATCAAAGGTGGCAATCTGTGCATTTGGACAAAAAAAATTTATTGATATGTCAATACAGATTGATTTGAATATAATCGTCTCCTTCAAAGAATACGGTTCAAAACCTGCATTAAATAAAGGTTAATAGTTAACCTGTTATTTATCTAAGATGTCGTTCAGAAGAGTTCTGTGACTGCCAATGGAATACAAAGTCAATAATTCGTTTTTCTGATTTTCCAATGATTGTCCAAAAGTCACATTGCCGGCTTTGATAATAGACGACTTATATGAGTGTTGGACTCCCTAAAAATAATGACAATAAATAATAATGTTAATTTTAAATGCCCAGTGAAGCGGGTGAGTGTGGCTAGTTTATCTATATAATTAAAGGTCTGTTTTATTTTGTATCAGTATTAAAAAAAAAATTCAATGTCTTTACTTGAACTTCAATTAAGTTTACCTCATTTAAATAGCTGAAGAAGTTTTATCTTGTAAGTTCTCTCTCGGCTCTCCTGTAAGTTATAATAAATGTTGCTTAAAACAAATAGCCATTCATCCCTCTATATAACTTCTTCTATCGTATTGTATCGTATCTAATTATCTGGTATTGATTTGTTACCGGAGCCCATAGACATAAGTTTGAATGGTGCCAGACACCTGGAGATATGAATTCGAATTCTCAATGTACGGTAAATTATGCATAGAGTAACAGATTTCTCATCATGTAAACTTGAATGCATGACTGTTTTGTGACATACTGAAGCAGGGTTGTGGTACCGACCTGTACGATTTTATTAAATGCCATATCACCAGAAAATATTGTATTTATGATGACAATGGTGAAGTTACAGTCTACAAAAATACAGTCTGAAAGCAACCTTCATTCCTAGATGTCAAATTCTATTTGGACTTAGACTTTAATGGCAGAGACCTAAACAGAACTATTCACATCCAAAAGATTGATTATAGAATAGGTTTATACTAGTGACACCGAGTTTCTGTCTGTATCTTTTTAGTCGGTTGCGATTATGATCCAGTAGTAGATTAAGCGAAGCACTGTTCTTGCTATAGCTAGTGATAGCAAATTTACTCAGTTTGACCCCCCAACTCATCTACCCGTCTGGACGTAGCTTGAATAGCAAATAGGTAGGGAAAAAAGAGCTTAATATAGCAAGAAAGAGCATGTGTTCAATTAGTGCTTGATAGACAGGTTTCTTCTAGTTAAAATGCCTTTATTAAACATATTCATTAGTGTTATGCAATTTTTGTACGATATATATACATATTTGAATAAGAGGAAGCCCTGAGTTGATAGGAGATTCTACTTAGTTGTAAAACTATCCGATCAGATCCTTTCGATTCACTGGGTGCTTATAAGGACTCCTAGCACCGGTCACTGTTAACTTAGCCCTTATACACTAACCAGTAAAATTGTCGCTCGATATTCTGGGTCCTGGGTAGGGATCCTATCTTTTTTTTTTATGACTTAATTGGGTGGACGGGCTCACGGCCTACCTAGTGGTTACCGGAGCCCATAGACATCTACAATGTAAATGCCATCACCCACCTTGAGATATAAGTTCTATAGTCTCAGTAATCAGACAACTAAAAAGTAATCTTTGATAATGGAATCATAGATATTACACTTAATATTTGAATAGAATCATAATATTGTTCAAAGTAATGATTTCTATTAATAATAATTATAGTAGAATTTCGAATACTGCGAGACTACGTACTACTATTAGTAAATACGTCTTTATGTGTAATTTGGGTCAGTGTCATCTTTCTATACATACCTAAATGAGCGGCTTCGTTAGCGGTATAATTAAACAATTAACAGTTTTTTTTTTATTGCTTAGATGTGTGGACGAGCTCACAGTCCACCTGGTGTTAGGTGGTTACTGGAGCCCATAGATATCTACAACGTAAATGCGCCACACACCTTGAGATATAGTTCTAAGGTCTCAGTATAGTCACAACGGCTGCCCCACCCTTCAAACCGAATCAGTGCCATTGATTTTTACTCATATCTACTGAGAAATGCCAAAGAAATCCTTTGCTTCTTATGTCCTTCTGTGTGAAAAGAGCACGTCAAGGAGAAGCTGATTTTTTTTTCTTTTTTTTTTCCTACCTAAGCTGATAGCCTTGCGAGAATATTTCAGCGTAACCTTAACTAGTAGGTGAGCTCACGGAGCTCAAACCTGACGACGTTGCTAACACGAACCCTAGCAAGAGCCGTGCTTCGCAGAATCTACCGCCGGATCGGAAACGCGACCCACTGAGAAGATCCGGCGAGAAACTCAGTGGGCTGTGTCTATGTCATTTACTCGTCGAGCCCTTCGTCGCAAGCGACGGGTTCGGCGAGAACGATGACCAGTGCTTGAGGTACCTAAAAGCACCGTTAATGGATCGGGAGGATCCGTAATGACGTTCGCGTGCGCGCGCCAAGACGTCCGTACAGGTCGATACCTAAGACCTATAATCAAACTGCTCAATAGTCTGTATTTCGACGCTCTGCACTTAATACGCATCAATAAAGAGTCGATCTATCGACGGTTCGCGCTCCATGGTTTAACAAAAACTTTTTTCACACATTTTGTTACGAAATAATTGATGAGTTTTCGAGTGTGTTCGATAGATGGCGGTGTAATTATAATAGAGGTAGGTTGCTTATTATTATCCCAGAACTAATATTAAAGGCAAATTTACATTACGAAATTAGTGGCGTGAAATTAATTTCGTGACATTAGTTTTACCAACAGTTTCACGTGTAATTTAATACTTTCGTAATGCATGCATTAATTTCATGCATGGAAATTAGTTTCGTGCCCTGCGCGATTTTTTGGTGAAATTAGTGTCATGCAACTAATTTCATAGTGTAGACGCGACGTAAGTGTATAATCTATGGAACTAACTTAAAAATCAACCCGCCGAGTTTCACGCCGGATCTTCTCAGTGGATCGCGATTCCGATCCGGTAGTAGATTCATTCCCGAAGCAGCTGCTTTTGAATTGCTAGATCTCTTTCGGAGGCGCTTGGGCAGCTGTTGACAAATCCCACCCCTCTTGGCTGAGCGCTTGCTCGCCCACCTGTCCTAGTGAAACTGGAAAGAAAGTAATTCCTCAACCATAAAAAAAAAAATTGCGGTGTCATGGGACACCGGATAAGAACGAAGTTCCTTATTATAAAAATATTAATTTTAAGTTCTATTCGAGGTATAAAGAAAATAAAACTGGAGGTTTCGCAACAACCCACGGTCATTCGGTAACGTGCGAACTTATTGTGGTACACTTCATTCACGGTTGTTTGCATAAGAGTTAGTGTATTGCGCAAACTAACGATCTGAGATCGTGGACAATGAACGATAAAAAAATATGTTATTTTTTGTACGTTATTACAAAGTTAAAGGTAGTATTCCGATGTTGGCGACCAGGGCGACCGAAGACCGCGACCCTGGTCGTCTGTCGCCCGACGACCAGTGGCATTCCGATGTCAGCGACCGCGACCGACGTCCAGTCTGCCCGCAGTTTTTCTTGTATACCTACAGTTGTTTTCTAGTGCTCAGTATAATTATGTCGGACAATTTATTCGCAACTAGGAAAAGAGCTATACCGATGATACACTCATTTTGTTTGTCTTGCTTTCGGAAACAAGAATCTTGTCAATTTCTTCCCAAATATTGTCTCGAATAACATTATCTCGATATGACCGGAGTGTCGAATTGTATACAGGTGGGTTTTTAGACACATCTATTAATAATTCGTCATCATGTGTGGAAAATGTCTCCATTTTGACTGCAACGTGGCAAGGGTCGCTTGCGTTGTTTAGGGTTCCATATAAATTCATACTAAGCAGTAAGTCGCGCGACCCGGTCGCGGTCGCCTGTCGCAGTCGTCGGTCGCGGTCGCCAACATCGGAATGCTACCATAAGTCGTACACTATGTGCATTACTAATAAAAATCTTACGTTACGGACGTTTTTTCTCGGTTAGGGTACCCCTCCGCATCGTGCCTTATGGAACTTCATTCCAATAATCCCAGTATCGCTATCCGTGTCCTAAGCTGACTACTTACCATGAGCTTCGTCTACTTACAATACAACGAAAACAAACAAAAAAATCGATACAATATTTTCAGACAAAAAGATTATTAGTATTATATTTCTTAACGAACGAAGCCTTTGACAAAAGGCATATCGCATTGTAGTTTTGTCACAAAACAAATACACATTTTTTTTGTTTTATTTCGTGGTTCGCTCATTAAGTTTTCGATTGTTTAAAATGTAGGTATTCATAATAATATGTCATTGCCCTTACATTTATAATTAAGAGATAACGCACAGGGTTCCGTAATCAGAATTAAAGTTTATTTAAAAAAAAAAAGTTTTTTTTTTATTGCACTTGTAGGCGGATACGGTCATACGGCCATATGTAGGCATACGGCCAACCTGATGGTGAGTGGTTACCGTCGCCCATCGACGTCAGCAATGTCCGAGGCAGAGCCAAGCCGCTGTCTACCATTAAGTAGATACTCTCCATAAGCCTCGTTTGAAGAAGGACATGTCATAGCGCTCGGGAAACACCGTGGAAGGGAGCTCATCCCAAAGCCGGATGGTACGTGGCAAAAAATGTCTCTGGAAACGCACTGTGGATGACCGCAGTGGCTCCAGGTAGTATGGATGAACTCTACTCCGGTGGCGGGTGGTGCGATGGCAAAAACGAGATAGAATTATCTCAAACTTTTTTTTTATTGCTTATATGGGTGGACGAGCTCACAGCCCACCTGGTGTTAAGTGGTTACTGGAGCCCATAGGCATCTACTATGTAAATACACCACCCACCTTGAGATATAACTTCTAAGGTCTCAGTATAGTTACAACGGCTGCCCCACCCTTCAAACCGAAACGCATTACTGCTTCACGGCAGAAATAGGCGGGGCGGTGGTACCTACCCGTGCGCACTCACAAGACGTCCTACCACCAGTACAGTAATTCCTCAGAGCACTCTGCATGGAACATACGGTACAAAATACAGACAGAAGCGAGGTCCCTCCGCAGACCCAGAGGTTCCAAACGATCCGTGAGAAAGGGTATATCGACAATCCGAACGGCCCTCTTCTGTATGGTGTCCAATGAAAGTAGCTGGTATTATTATAGGTACATGATTATATATACACATGTCGAGGGGTGAAAAACTATTTGGTTTAATTGCCGTTTTTGCAAATTTACAGGAGGAGTGGTAGGATCTCTTGTGAGTCCGTGCGGGTAGGTACCACCGCCCTGCCTATTTCTGCCGTGAAGCAGAAATGCGTCTCGGTTTGAACGGCGGGGCAGCCGTTGTAACTATACTGAGATCTTAGAACTTATATCTCAAGATGGGTGGCGCATTTACCGTTGTAGATGTCTATGGGCTCCAGAAACCACCTAACACCAGGTGGGCTGTGAGCTCGTCCACACACCTAAGCAAAAAAAAAAAAATTTTTGTGTTAAGTTTTTTAAATTTAGAAAAAATATCATAACAAACTTCTTCAGCTATACGAATGGAGTAAAATTGATAGAAGTTTAAAAAAAAATCGAACTGTTGTCGCTAATACTAAATAGAACGGACCTTTAATTATTACAAAGATAAATGTCGCTTAAGCCAAACACTATTTCACCTATCGATTACATTTTGCATCAAACAAAATGAGCATCAAATAAATAATGGTTTAAAAAAACTAAAAAACACGCTTTATATAAAATTCAACAAAAAATTAGAAAATAAATAAAAATAAATTTAAATTGAAAAAAGTGTAAAAATATATTTTTTATTGTAAAAAAAGCGTGGTGCTTTTTAAGATATTAAGAATTTATTAAAATTTATTTTCTATTTTTTAGTTGAATTTTGTATAAAGCGTGTTTTTGAGATTTTTTTTAAACTATTATTTATTTTTCATTTCTTAGTTAAATTTTCTATAAAAGCGCATTTTTAAAACTATTAAGTACTTTAACACCAATTCCTGCCTTATCGACTATGTATATATAAAAATTATATAAATTGGCAAAAATCTTATTTTGCAAATTGAATAATGGAATAATTTTATCAAATTAGTGTATTGTCATAGGTCCTCGATAAATCTACAAAGTTTGAATGAAATCTGGCCGTTTAAAGTGGGTCAAAAAAAGGAGTCCGTTACAAATATACATACAAGTGAAGCTAATATAAAGCGTGTAAAAAAAAACATCGCGCTCATCAAAAGATGTCCTGAAGACAGCCTTTTTGCTGTACTCTCGGTATTTCCAACTCATTCGTAACCTTTAAAACTGGTTGAATTCAATTATACCTGTGTATTTATTATGAATAATCTTACCTTGAATTCACTCAGTTCGCTTCATTTTCACGAGCGCAGAAGACGTCTATAGTCGATTCAAAAAAAAATAAGGAAAAAAAATGTTTCATTATCTGTGATCGATTTGGCGGGAAAAGTTTTTATTTGTTTTTTTTTTTGTTGAATTTTTTTATTAACAATTTACTATCTCAAAATGCCAAGTGTTAGTAGTGTGTTAGTTTTTTTTTCTTTATTAGACGTTGTCTTGCTACAAAGAACAGGATCCGGAACGAATGGGAACTGTAAGCGAAAAAATTTTTAAATTATTTTTTCCTCATCTATATAATATATAAAAATAAATTGCTGTTCGTTAGTCTCGCTAAAACTCGATAACGGCTAGGCGGCTGGACCGTTTTGGCTAATTTTGATCTTGAATGATTTGTGCAAGTCAAGAGAAGGTTTAAAAGGTAGATAATTATGAAAATGCTCGGAATTAAATAAAAATAACAATTTTGTTTTTCCTTTGATGTGTCCCCCGTCGGACGGATTCCTTTTGTTTGTTTTAGGTTTATTTTATACAAAATTTTAGGTCTTTTATTTATCGATTGAGGCAGTACGAAGTCTGCCGGGTCAGCTAGTATCATATAAATAGGTCCTGAATGTAATTACGCTGTTTTATTTAAAAAAAAAACGAATTATTCTGTTTTATTTCGACAAAAAGACTTCAACGCGTTTATTTTGCTAATTGAAGAGACTTTTTGTTTTGCTTAGACCAAGGTTTTTTGTGGTTTGGATTCGAAAATCAAACAAACTATATTAAGACGTTTTTTTTGCTGATGATTTAGAATGTTTGCGACAAGCTCACGCGTCTCCCGGTGTTAAGTGATTCCTGGGGGCCATGGGCATCAACAATGTAAATGCCGCTACCCATATTGAGAAACGAGTTCAAGATTCAGCAGTACAACGGCTGCCCCGCCCTTCAAACCGAAACGCATTACTGCTTCACGGCAGAAATAGGCAGGGCGGTGGTACCTACCCGTGCGCACTGACAAGACGTCCTACCATCAGAAACACCTTGTTATTAGTGGTCGCACGCTGCGATGGGTTTTCTTTAGGCCGTGTTCACACGGCATTGTCCTGCACGTTTATTTGCAGTATACGTCTTAAATAGAACCGTTCACTTGTCATTTGATGATTGTCACTTGGATGCGGAAGGCGGAGGACCGCATTATGTGGAAGGCATTGGGGAAGGCCTATGTCCAGCAGTGGGCAGATAAAGGCTGATGATGATGAGCTTCACTTGTAAGTATGTTTGTATGTTTGTAACTGACTCCTTTAGACGCGACTTCAACCCACTTTAAACGGCCAGATTTCATTCAAACTTTGTAGATTTATCGAGGACCGATGACAATTCAATATTTAAAAAAATAAATTGAAAAAATTGAAATTCAACTAAACAATGACGCTTTTTTTTAAAAATAAAATATATATTTTTTTGACATATTTTAGTCAAGTCGTTTTGGACAAACAAAATAATATTCATACATACAAAGGAAAACCGGTTCTAATTCGTATTCATTACGATCCATTAGTGCCTACTGGTGTCTTCATTATGGCGAGTTTCGTAAGCTAATTTAGTTTGTAATCTATATATTAATACGTGAAGCAAAAACTTTGTATCCCTTTTTACAAAAATTGCGCGGACGGAGGAGTGTGAAATTTTCCACACTTATAGAGAATATAGAGAAGAAGTGGACAATGCTAATTTTTTTTTTAAATAATACAGAAAAGATACATTAAATCAATAAAGAAAACGTTACACACACTACATACCATGTATTTGACGCACACACGCATGCATACGATTTATTGTCAAACTTTTGTTCTTGACGTCTGTTGTCAAATTGAGAATAGATTAAATATTGTTTGTCTTTATTAATATTTTTCTATAGTGTAGCCTTGGCGAAATTTGTGATTTTAAAAGTATAAAATACAATCATAATAGTGTACAAACTTACAATTCCAATTAATTATAGTCGAATTTCGACTACTGCGGGACCACTAGTTTATTTTAAAATGTCTAAGGATTACTGGTTCTCGTCTATTGCGCCTGTGTGATACTCCGGCATCCTCCTTCTTCTTGAATCATCTTTTTTTTCATTGCTTCGATGGGTGGACGAGCTCACAGCCCACCTGGTGTTAAGTGGTTACTGGAGCCCATAGACATCTATAACGTAAATGCGCCACCCACCTTGAGATATAAGTTCTAAGGTCTCAGTATAGTTACAACGGCTTCAAACCGAAACGCATTACTGCTTGACGGCAGAAATAGGCAGGGTGGTGGTACCTACCCGTGCGGACTCACAAGACGTCCTACCACCAGTCTTCCTTAGAGCTGAAGTACCTTTACGGAGCAATTTTGTTCAGATTATATTCCTCCATTCATTCCTGTTCTCTGCGCAGTGGATAGCGACATTAATACTGGATGTTGTCTTATTTCGATCAGACTAGTGCTGGGACTACGCCTCCTTGGCCTCTTTCCTTCCACTTTGCCGATAATGACTGGCTTTTCGAGATTATCGCCCTTCGTCCTCGCAACCTGACCAAAAATCTCGAAGATCCCACGTAGGCAGGTGGTGGAAAGTCTTGTGGAGACGCCTAGTTCTGCTAGGATTGAGTGCTAGGAGGAGTGTTCATTCGTAGGGTAGCATAATTATAAAAAATAAAAAAAAAAGAACTGTCACGAGTTAGTGCTATGGATGTCTAAGCTATTAGGATCCGTTAATGAAACAAAAATATGACTGATTTATCCCCCTGATTAGTGGAACAATTCAAAATGTCAATTTTATGTTGTTTTTTTCTTCATAACCTCAATGAATAGGGCTGTGACGTACGAATCGTGGACATTAATATTAATATAATTTTAATTTTAAGTCACTTTTATACATATTATGGTAGCTTGTCGCTTTTATTTCGTGTAAGCGGTCAAGTCGACCACGAAAACTGTCAATAATTCGAGACGTCGCAGATAATGTAAGGAAAAAAAAAAAAAAAAAAAAACATATGATTTATTATGTCTAACGACGCGTGAAATACGTAGATAATACTTTCCCCCCTAATAAAATCTAGTTTGATTCGCATTTCGATCCGCTGAAAGACAATTTCTAGCATGAATTAAGCTTATAAGCACATTTCAATTGTTCCTTTTATTCGCGTACTTCTGTGTGCAAGATATTAAAAAAAAAACACAAATGAGCTTAAAACACGTTTGCCCTTGCGTTGAACGACAAAATGAAACAAACAAAAAAATTGCGTAATGGCGGACTGAATTTTTTTCTTTCTAACTACTTAGCTACCATTTGTCTCTGGATGTTAGTTATTTAAATTATAATTTTTAAAACCTATTAATGCAATTGGAACACGGTTGATGCCATATTTTGAATATTAATGAAATATTATTATGATGATATTCAAATGTTAAGAATATTTGTTTATAAGTATATATTTGGATGGATGAACTCAAGGCTTCGAAATGTTAAGTTGCTATAAAAGTATACAGATATTGCAACGTTTAGAGGCGAGGTTTTCTTTTTTAATACGCTTTTATTAGCTTCAGACGTATTGTATGTAACGGAATCTTTGAATATGATTTTGACCCCCTTCAAAACGTCTGATAATTTCGAAATTTGTCATACTTATTAAGGACCGATGACAGTTCAATATTTTAAGCAACTGCTTAAAATATTGAACTGATTATCCTAGTAAGGATAACAAATCAAACTTGATTTGTTATCCTTACTAGGATAATCAGGATTAGCATTTTTTTTGTTTTCCTGAGACCCGCAGTGTCTGCATCAAGACCAAGAAGGGAACTACCAGGCGCGCCGATCATCTATTTCTCGGATAAGTTACCGGCTGATAAAGAGGAAATTTTTGAAAAATTGAAAAAACAAACAGAAAAAAAATTGAAATTCAACTGAAAAATTAAAAATAAATAATAGTTTAAAAAAGCTAAAAAAATACGCTTTTATAGAAAATCCGACTAAAAAATAGATTTTTTTTAATAAATTTGAATTAAAAAGAGTGTAAGAAAAAATGATTTTATTGTAAAAAATTATGAGCTAACGGATGACTAACGGAGCGCTATGACGCCGTGATGTGTTGTATTACTATGGTAAAATACCGTCAAACAGAGCGCCAGCGTTATAAGTACGCAACGCTCTATCGTGGCGTTAGGGCTGTTTGACAGCATATTAACATAGTAGTACAACAAATCTCGGCGTCATAGCGCGCCGTCAGTTTAGCGCTCTGACGCGCGCTAATTACGCGTTCTGTTTGACGAAGCCTTAAGGACGATAAAACTTGAATTTAAGCAATACATTTTCACCTTCGTTTTCTTAGGAAACGTGACGTAATCGTGTGCGAGACGAAATCTGGGTTTTCCTTAACACAGACTTATGATATCACAGAGGCACTTTTTATTTTATTTAGTGCTTAGATGGGTGGATGAGCTCAGACCTGGTGTTAAGTGCTTACCGGAGCCAATAGACATCTACAACGTTAATGCCGCCACACACCTTGAGATAAGAGTTCTAAGGTCTAAGTATAATTACAACGGCTGCTCCACCCTTCAAACCGAAACGCATTACTGCTTTACGGCAGAAACAGGCAGAGTGGTGGTACCTACCCATGAGGACTCACAAGAGGTCCTACCACCAGTAATTACTCAAATTATAATTTTGCCGGTTTGATTTTTCTTACACGATGTTATTACTTCACCGTGGAAGTCAATCGTGAACATTTTTTAAGTATGTATTTCATTAGAAAAATTTGTACCTGCCTGCGGGATTCGAATACCGGTGCATCGCTCAACACGAATGCACCGGACGTCTTATCCTTTAGGCCACGACGACTTCGGACACCGCATTCTCCTTTACCCACAGACACAGCCCACTGAGTTTCTCGCCGGATCTTCTCAGTGGGTCGCGATTCCGATCCGCTGGTAGATTCAGCGAAGCACTGCTCTAGCTAGGGCCAGTGTTAGCAACACTCCCAGTTTGAGCCCCGTGCGCTCACCTACGCGTCAAGGAGAAGCTGAAATACCCTCTCAAGGCTATCAGCATAGGCAGAAAAAATAAAAGCCGGTGAGTCCCCCAGACTTCTTGCTACACACTGGGGAAGATATCGCGGTGAGCCATTAAGTCGTTGACCTTTCGTTTCGTCATTTAAATGTCATATAATTCCATTAACAGCGGGAAAATGAAGTACAAGTGAATAATATCTGTTTTAATTATCGTGAAGA